CTAGAATAAAGCTTTGACTCATTGGTAAGAGGGGGTGGTGCTAAGCAAACAACCATTTTGTTCCATCCCTTCCTTCCCCTCTCTAATTGTGTTGGCCGGTTTACCTCTTTCTTTGTCTTTGTCTTTCTAATGTCCGCTTTAACTCACCATTGAGCCAGGCGGGCAAGTATTCGCTCTTCATGCTGTAGTGCTGTACGCCCAGATTCCTCAGAATCACTGGCTCCGTCCCCAGGAAGTTGTTGAGCGTTGCCGAGTACAGCTCCTTATCTGTAGCAGAATGCAAGCGTTAGTTTAATTCTGTTCTTGTACAGGCCTGAGAGGACATTGGTTCAGCCGGGAGTCACAAAAGGAGACGGAGAATGGATGTGTATTGGGTTCAGCCGGGCTTTTCAGAGCAGGGAATGCAGCATGCAACGTTAAATTGGACTCCTGGACTCTCAGTGCAGTCGTATGGCTGCAAAACAGATGGGAAATGCTGCAGGAGCAGTTTGTGGAGATTTGATGGACATTTAATGCCTCCGTTAGAGCTGTAAAAACATGGCGCAGTTCACTTTAGTGTTCACAATGCTGAGATGGAACAACAAGCGCTGACGGTGTGTTATGGTTGATATATTGAAGTGAATGCATTTCCAGCTAAGGATGTATCATGCTTGTTGAGTAAACCTGACACTTAAATGATTGTTACACTTGTTCGGCAACACTTAAAAAGGACATATAATAAAAAATCCCACTTTTGTAGTGATTGTGCCGTGCGCTACATTTTGATATCTGCAGTGCCTTATAACCCAAAGCAAGGCAACCAAGTCAGTGTTTGGGGGGTGCTTGGAAAAGAAAACATGGGAGTTATCAAGCCATTCACAATTGGCTTCCCTTTCTATGTCACAAACAGGCTCATTACATGATGCTGCCCATCATCTGAGCATATCAACCAATGGCTATGCAATATTAAACCAAGACCAGGTTCAACATTTTCTGGAGGGAGGCTTAAAGAGACATGTGGTGCGTGAACAGAGCGTTTCAGACAGAGGATGAATTCAGGTATATTCAGAAAGATAGTGTGAGAAAAATACTGTTATTTTTAACATTAAAGCATGTGCACACATTATTTTGGAAGCCTCATTTACAAGTACCTGAACATTTGCAGTACAGTATATGTCCCCTTTATTTGTATTTGGAGTACGTACAAACAGTAGTCTGGTATTTAAAGTATGCGCTTATTACTCACCCACTATAAGGCCAGTGTGCCCTTTGGCAGGGTCATATGGGCATTTACCCTTTCCATCCTCCAGGTCTGCAGGATTCAGGGTAAAAGAGTCTGCGTTCTACAAACACACACACACACACACACACACACACACACACACACACACACACACACACACACACACACACACACACACACACACACACACACACACACACACACACACACACACACACACACACACACACACACACACACACACACACACACACACACACACACACACACACACACACACACACACACAGGAAATCAGGCGTTTGTTTTTCTTGGTCAGTGTGCGTTATGACCCACATGACACAGCTGCAAGCCCTGTGTGTCCGTTAAAATGACCACGGCTTCACCCCACGTCATGTTGTCCTGTCGCATCAGCGTCACATGTTTGCACACACACACACACACACACACCCACGCCACTTTTTTCTATTACATTTTTTTCATTTTATCACACAGTTCTCTTAGCCTGTGGTCAGATAAAAGTTGACACCTGTCAGCAGCGCACGACCAAAATAACTCTGTCTAGACGCACACGCACACACACACACACACACACCACACACACACATACACACACACACACACACACACACACATACACACCCACACACACATACACACCCACACACACACACACACACACACCACACACACACACACACACACACACACACACACACACACACACACCACACACACACACACACACACACACACACACACACACACACACACAACACACACACACACACACACACACGCATGCTTACCACATAGGTGCATTTGGGCTGGAAGGCGTAGGTGCCGCAGGTGTAGAGGTGTGTGTGGTTGTAGCTCTGCAGGAAGCGGATGTAGTTGAAACACTCGGTCTGTGGAGAGGAGGAGGAATTGTTAGAAAGCTGCTGTTTGTCCTCTGTTGAGGTGAAGCCCATTGCACCATGGAGACTCTGTATGCTCACACACACCTCTGAGACTCAGCTTAACTGTAATGCTTCAATGCGACTGCTTTTGAATCTTCATAACCTTGAGACTAGACCGCGTTACTCATGATTAACTTTCTCTTGGCAGCGCCATTCTTATATATGTGGATGAACAAATGGTGCAGAAATATTAGGGACACTGAACATTTGGCAGCCTCCAAGAACAGTCATTTATTTTGAGTAAGTGTTCATTGTTATAATCAACCAAGACCCACAAGACTTTTTCTTTTTTCAGGATTGGGATATAAGAAACACATCACTATGATTTCATTATGTGATTTCTTGTGTTTTATTGCATCTAGTGGGTCTATTTCTTCCATAAAAAGTACTTTAAAAGGCACAATTTCAAATACATTAAGTTCGTTTATCATCTCTTCCAAATCATCTCCTGACAGCATGTCTGACTCCCTCTCAATATTTTTTATAAAAAAGTTCTGCCTCACTTTCTGTTTCCTGAAATATGGAAAATAAGATGTTAACTCCCTCTCTAAAAATACGTGTTTAAAAGGCTTAGAATGGACAAAACACTAAATAGTTAATATAATCCAGTTAAGACTCAACATTAATAAAAAACATCCAATGAAGAACATAAACAATATATATTTATACATTTGATCATTGAAGTCCCTCACAGCACTACAGTAAAATGTGTTTTCTGCAGACAGCACATGTGCCTTGTGTGTGTTACATCACTGGAGACATCAGGATGGACTTCCCACACTACTTTAGGACTCAGATAAAGTGCCCGCAAGGTGTTTAAAATCAGCGCTTGAGTGTCATGTCCTCCACAGAGGAAAGCAATAATGTCTCAGAAGGAGAGGACGTCACTTAATAGATGATGTAACCACATTATCTAAATAACCTTTACACTGCGACAAAAAAGGTGACAGGATGTTTCCATTCAAAAGATTTGTGGGTAATTAACAGTGTAAAATATGCAGCGTTTCCTGGGCAGTGCCCTTTAATGTGATGAACAATAAAGCTCTTTGAATGGGATTGGAAACAGATGCTCACACATGATGCTCCAGGAATGAATAATTCAGTGCGTCCACTTGATGTTGCCTCTGCAGCAGCAAAATAATATCTGCCTCTCACGGCTGTTATAAGAGCAATATGATTTTGTTTTAATACATCTTTACAGAGCCTGTAATCAGCGAGGATAATCGGGACGAGATGCATCTGGCAGACGGTCCTCTTTCAGGCGACTACATTACATAAAAAGACTAATCATTGAGTATCTCGACGGGCAGTGTAAACACCATATGCTTATTCATTCATGTTATAAATAGGACATGTGTGAACATTCACTTAATACAAGTAGCTTTAAATGCACTTTTGCTAGCATTTTTGATGACATGCACCCAAGTATCCTGATCACAGGGCATCACGCTGCATTTTAACAACCATTCACGCCCCAACACGAGAAGTTATGACATGTTTTAATTCAATTTGAGTTAAAGAAGTACTCCTACTAGGTCCTTCTGTTTGAAACCACATCAAAGGTAACTGTTGTGCAACGAGAGGTTTTCAGCTTCGTCTCTTAAACGTCTGTGTGTTTCTATAAAATATTAAACGAGACTCCTTGCAGATGTACTTTATGCCCTGTAAGCAGTGAGGAGCCGGGGCGGAGAGGAAAGAGAGTGTTTTCCCTTTCAGTTACAAAACAAACAGTGTAATCAGATTACTGGCACATTTCTAAAACTTGGGGGTAAATAGCAGGATAATAGTGTTAGTATACAACTAAGAGAGCATGTGTATGTATATGTTCAGATGTATACTTCTACTGCCTTAATCTGCTTCATGGTTTTCACTTTCTTTGGTTCATTTTTTCTGTTTTTCATTTAGCAGGTGAACCTATATGTTCAAACAATAGTGTGTGTGTGCTTACCTGTGAGTATTAAACTAAATCGAAGCAGCTCAGATTTGATTTCTGCCTGTTTAAACTGTGCTCATGTGTTTCATTGTTGGTGTATAGGCTGAATATGCTTCATGAAAGGCAGCTTTTCCTAAACATAAAATCATTTTTGATCCTAAATATCTTGGTGTCTTCTTTTATTGTTCTGTTTTCTTACATAATGGATAAAAAAAACTCTCCTATTGATATTTATTTTCTCTTGTATTTATTCACATTGCATTTGATATTGCAATAATCCCAAAGTAATGGAAAGTATTCAGGTTGGATTATTATTAATAATAATAATAATAATACACAACACTTATATAGCGCTTTTCTAAAAACTCAAAGACGCTTTGACAGAGAATAAAATGAAAAAATGAAAATAAATACATAATGAGATTACAGATTAAATGTTCTCTATTTAGAGATAATGAGTCATTCTAACTGATTACATTTTAAAGTAACCCTACCAACTCTGATCACAACTGATGGTGAGAGCTTAGAGTTAATACTGAACTACAGAGAGCTACTCCTCTGTTGAATATATTCATTTCATATTTGGAAAAAGTAGATCCACAGAAATGTTTTATCTGATGAAGTCTTCTTTTCATTACGAGAAGCTAATGAATATTTAAAAAGGAATAGTTTTCCTGCTGAGAGTCAGCTGAGAAGCCACTCTCATGTCTGTGTGCTCGTGTGCTGTATGTCAGACTCTCGCTGCTGCGGGACTTTCCCCTCTCTTTTTGTTGCTCGAGACAAAACACTTCCCGGATCGGGCCCACCTCAAAAGTTGCTGATGCTGCCTGGAAGACGCTGTGAGCTAATGTAATGACTGGAAGCCTTCCAGTTAGAAACCCTTTAGACTGACTTGACAAAATGTAATGGAGCAAAGTGAAGTGTATAAACTACTGGCGTATAAACTCCTGTACACGTGGCCTTGAGAAAAGCAGGTAATCCCCAGAGGATGCGTGTTACCTGGTTGTTCTTCCCCTTGGCCACACACTCCCTCTTCTTATCCTGCGGAGCCGGCCACTCGATCTGAAGAAAGAAAGACACAGATGTGATGAGGAACATGTCGTCTACAGGGAGGATGCTGTCTGCCTTTTGCCTATTTATCATTTTCTAAATTAACCACACAATCTTCCTAGGTTGGCCGATGACCAAGGGAAAACAGCACATTAATGAACCTTAATTAGAGCAGATTGACTCGATTTGCTGCACAAAATGGAGATACAATGTTTTTTTAATTAATTGGAGGACAAGGTTATTCTTCACCTTGAACCAAAGCCATGGTTAAAAGTCTTTTCATTACCACTGTTTTCCTATGATAACAAGTAACAATTGAGATCACAAGCTATGTATGTCATCCTCTCTCAAATTACAAATGTTGTTTCCCCAAAATGACGGCATATTGGCCAAGACCCATAACACTACATTAGATGTTAGACACTTTTATTCAAAGCGACTTACATACTTGTGTCTTGCCCAGGGACACAACGACATTCTGACTGCAGTGGGGTTTGAACCTGTGACCCCCTGATCCCCAGACAAAGGCTCTATCCACTGCCCCACACGCCTCCATAACATTTTCAATATGTCAGGATCCCGAGAAAAAGACTCTACCCGAGCTCTCAAGCGATTGTTAATTGGAGATGAAAACATTTATAACTCCCGATCTCAAGGAAACTTGAAAAGTGAAATCCACCTTGAACTTAAGTACGGTGGCCCTTAAAGGTCATGTTTCGAACAATCTATAACCACCCTTTGCCCATGAAAGTTATTAATGTTATCACCACTAACATTACAAATTAGTTTGATTTATAAATCATTGTTTACTCGTGGCTTTGAAGTTATGTCATTATCCCGAGAAAGTTTCTCTACTAGAGCTCTCAGGACATTTGTTCTTTCACACCGGAGTACTTTTCCCATAGTTCCGATAGTCCCTGGGATTTTGCGTTCACACCAAAAAGATCTGGAACTAGAACTTTTTTTTGCGAACCTTTTCACCCCTTTTCAGTCCCTGCTAGAGAGCAGGTACTTTCCTGCGAGAAAAAGGTTCCCATTTCTGATTGGCTGGGCGAATTGCAAACCACGCCCCGTAAAACTCCGAAAGGTTTTGTGAAGCCGCCATTGTATTTGCTGGCATTAGCATTATTAGCATTAGCCCAGCGCACCAAGGGAGAGAGACTAACTTATGGCAAAAAAAAATAAAACATGGGAGCGGTGGAGATGAGGAGGTGTCGGCGTTCTGGCGATTTACTCGGAAGGCTTCAGTAGAAGCTGCTGGGAGTCCCAGCTTCTAAGCCAGTCCCTAACTCCGGGGACTTCCGGCCGGGGACTTCGGGTGGCAGTATACGCCGTGAAGTTGTTTGCGGCCTGCCAGTAAACCCAAAGAAGAAGAAGAAGAAGTGACGTTAGCGGCTTCATTTGCGTAATCTTCCCTCAGAGAATTTATTCCGGTGTGAACGCGATCGGCTCTTTAGTTCATGAGAACTAAAGAGTTCTGGTAACTAAGTACGGCAAAGTACTTGGTGTGAAAGCGCCTAATGACATAAATAACTCTAGATCTTGAGAAAACAAATAAAAGTAACTTTATTTCACAGGAAAACAGAGGAAATACGATTGAACCGTGGCCATTCAGGGCTTCCGTACTACAGATACAGATAAGTAAATAGCTGCATTTCTGTTAAAACATGTAGTAGGCTACAGAGGAAGCAAATAAAAAAAACCTTCTGTCCATACTTAACCTTAACCTTTCCAGTAGCTGATGCTTTTTTTAATGTCCGTTTGACACATGGCTGAACTTTGCTCCCTGCATTGAGGTCCAACATATCAAGTGTGTTTACTGAGAGGTTTCCACACCATTAGCAATAATTACACTGGTCATTATAGACAGAGAGCCGCCGCACATGCAGAATTAAACTCTGATTTACTTGGCTGCGCTTAAACCAAACAGCAATCAAACAATGGGTCATTGCCATATACTGCGGTGGTAGATAAAGTACACTTTAAAAACTTGACGAATGATATACTAACCGTCATATATTATAATATATATATATATTATTATGATAATATTTCAGGGGAAAGTCAAACCTCTGAATGTCCACATTTCATTCTCACAGTAGACATGATAAAGTTATACGTTAATATTTAATAACTGAATTAATGATTACGATGACAGATTACCTGCAGGATGTGTAGTTTTAACAAATGCACTGGAGTTTTTAGAGAGAGACAGGATAAAATGAAGCGGAGCAACACCAGAAGTTTTTTTTGTGACTTCTAATTTGTTCCCAAGGGATTCTCATTTGTCACAAGTCGGTGTCTAATGAAGAAATGCACTTTTCATTTGCTCCACACAGATCAGTAATGTAATAAAAAAAACTGGCTGTCGCAGGATTAATGTCTAAAAGCATAACAAGACAATGCCATGAATATCCTGTACCTCACGCTACACACAGATAGCCTTTCCCCCCATTAGTGTCTATGGAAACATCTTAAGAGTCTTTGTGAGGAATAGGATTGTAGGGTTGAGTTAAAAATAAAGCCTAACGGATGAAGCAACAACCTTTATTTTTGCAAGGAGTGCTGTAACGTGGCTATACTTGTTTCCGCATTTAAAAGGTGCATGTGTTTTCTCCTTCAGTGTTGGTGCAAGTAACGCAGTCCACGCTCAGTCCATTAGCTAATGAGTACAAAGATAACAATGTTTCTCAAGTGCTGGTTCAAATTGTACTATACAGATGGTCCCGAAAAAGAAATGAATAGAGCAAGCGGTGGAAAGTACATTTACTCTAGTACACTTAAAACATGTTGTTTTACTGCGCTTGAGTATTTCATTTTATGCTACTTTATACTTCTACTCCTGTATATCTCTTGGGATGAATATTGTAGTTTTTACTTCACCGCATTTATTTGTCAACTTATCGCAAATTTGATTATTGAGATTACATTACATGTCATTTGTTAGACGCTTTTATCCAAAGAGTAAGAGTACTGTGGGCAGTCCCCACAGGAGACATTTCAGGTGAAGTGTCTCGCCCAGGGACACAACGACATGCTGACTGCAGTGGGACTCGAACTTGCTATCCCCTGGTTCGAAGTCCAGCACACTATCCACTGAGCCACAGCCGTGTGTTAGTATGTGTTATAATCAACACATACATTTGACTTAAGTTATACCTAGTCAATTCACGAGCTACACAGCAGTATATACATTAAATAAACTAGGTCCATCTTCACTAGCTGCAACAAACAATAACATATTGTCATTATGCATCAATAATAACAAATATATACAAAAAAACCGTAGGATTTGAGCCTTGGCAGGCCATTTACATGCACAAAAAACAATATACCACACTACAGGGAAGGGACAAACCAAAAAAGCATAATAGGTCCCCTTTAAGTTACATTTAGTATGCAGGATTTATACACATTTTACATTATTTCTATACAATGGTATTACAAGTTTTACTGAAGTACTTCTTTCAGCATTGAGAGTAAGATAATGTGAACCGAATTAGAACAACATTTCCAGCATTTAGTACTTTTTAAAATGCTGAAGCAAGGTGAATTACCGTCGCAAATGTAGTCAAAATTGGATCAGCGGTGTCTGAGGTATACCACACGGGACGACTGAACAAAACTAATAAGTGAAAGAATGAAAAACAATCATCATGGGAAAGAAAGTAACTAAATAATCTAGGAGGAAGAGCTTCAGAAACCAACAGGAGCGGCCTGTCCCAACAGAAAAAATAAGTGTCTTTAAAGCAGTGAAAAATCCCCAGAAAATGGGAAGAAAGTTGGACATGAAGGTAATGAAGGAAGACAGCAGGGAGGAAATAAAGGGAGGAAGGGTGAGGAGGGGGGAGAGTGACAGAAAAGATGGATATTCCCTCATCTTTGCTCAGTTCTGTCATGTTTCTGTATCGGCTCTTTTCTCTGTACACAGCACACTGGAGGCTGACAACAGGTGGCCTTATTATTACTGTAAGACGCATTACACTCACTGAATCAGCCGTGTGTGTGTGTGTGTGTGTGTGTGTGTGTGTGTGTGTGTGTGTGTGTGTGTGTGTGTGTGTGTGTGTGCGTGTTAAACAATTCCCTCCCTGCTGCAGGCCGCTCACACCTTAATTGGACTGCTGTAATTGTATTGATTGCAATATGGACCAATTATAAAGGGAGCAAAGCAAAACCAGATTGAGTCTCGGAGGCTTTATCATCTCTGCGTGTGTAAAAATCAGGTCAAGTGAAGGGTATTTATAGAGTGCTGTTAAACAAATAGGGTTGCCACGGAGGGACATAAGAAGATACACAGATTAAAACTATAATACCAGGGATGCAAACTCATCAGGTATGAAAAAGGTGACAAGGATCCGAGCCCCCCGACCCCACGGAATATCGGCTTTAAAATGAGGAATAACAGGATTTTAGCAGTCAGAACAACTAAAGCAGCAGGTAATAATAACAGAAACGCTAAAGAGTCACATCTAATAGAAATATATAAAAGCATTTATTTTAATTGTGTAGCAGTCAGTTTATAATTCTGGCAGCACTGTTGAGCATTTTGAAAATGTATTTTCATGCCTCTGTGCAAGGCTTAGTCTTTCTATCTGTATAGCCACTGGTGTGAAGTAACTACGTTCATAAACTCAAGTACTATACTTGGGTACAATTTTGAGATACTTGTACTTTATTTAAGTATTTCAATGTTTTGCTACTTTGTTCTTCTACTCCACTACAGTTCAGAGGTACATGGTGTACTTCTACTCCACTACATGTATTTAATACCTTTAGTTACTTTACAGATGTGGATGAATGATGTAAAATCTAATCAAGTGTTGAATCAGACTTTAGTTCCACCTGGAGTAAATCCACCAGCTACCCTGCAGTATACAAAGTCATTCAAACTAGCTGCACCTTCACCAGCTTTGAGAACACTTTAATGATCAATCATTATAAAACATATCATATATTTTATTCTGAAATGGACCAATCTGCACAACGATTACTTTTACTGTCGCTACTTTAAC